GGCCCCCCCCAAACCCAACCAACCCACCTCAAGAACTTTCACCAATACCACCTATGGGCACCTCACCCCGGCAGCCCCCCGCCACCCCATCCTCCCAGGCACCCTCAGGCATCCCCCTGCAACCCATGCCACCGCCCTTCTGCCCAGCCCTGGGGTCTGTCCCTGCAGCCCCCCGGCACTGCAGGTCCGTCCCAGTCCCTCCCAGCTGCCCCAGTGGTGCCTGTGGACTGGGATGCTCTGGACATGGTGGGACCATGAGTGCCATTGCTGTCCTCCCAGTCCAGCCCAGGGCACGTCCTCCTGCGTTGCCACAGGCTTGGGGCATTGGGTGGTGGTGGGGGTTGGGTTGCCATGCCACCGTGTCCCCTACCCCTCCCCTGGGTCCCCGAGCATGTCCCCGACTGAGCCACCGCAGATCCCATTAGCCACAGCGGCTCAGCCCAACCTTAATGCCCGCTGGCACCAGGCTGTAATCCCCCTGCCCCGCGCCACAGACCTGGCACAGCCACCAGTGTCCTCTGGCTGTGCCAGGCACTGGGGGTCCCAGGGGCCAGCGTGGGGTGCAGCCGGGGGTGCCCATAGCGCGGGCACTACTGTGACCCATGCTTTGTCCCCGCAGGAGCAGGGGAGTCGGGGAAGAGCACCATCGTCAAACAGATGAAGTAAGTGCCAGGGGTTGACTCTTGGCCGTGCCCCACCGTGCCGCATGCCTGCCCCACGCCACAGCCATGGGGTACCCCTGTTCCACCGTGCCTGGCTCTGCCCCATGCGACAGCCATGGCATGCACCCATCCCTTAGTGCCTGGCTCAGCCCCACGGCACCCAGCTCAGCCCCATGCTGCACCCATGGGTGCCCCCACCCCATAATGTCCAGCTCAGCCCAACACTACAGTCATGGATGCCCTCACCCCACATCTCAGCCCCATGCTGCACCCACGGGTGCCCCCCCATCACAGTGCCCAGCACAGCCCCATGCTGCACCCATGGGTGCCGCCCCACCCTGCGGCACCCAGCTCAGCCCCGTGCCCCCCTCCCCGGCCAGGATCATCCACCAGGACGGTTACTCGCTGGAGGAATGCCTGGAGTTCATTGCCATCATCTACAGTAACACGCTCCAGTCCATGCTGGCCATCGTGCGGGCCATGACCACCCTCAACATCCAGTATGGGGACACAGCTCGCCAGGTGAGGGGCACCCCATGCCAGAGAGGGAGTCCCGTCAGCCCCCCCCAGCCCTGCTTAGCCCCTCTCCCTTGTAGGATGATGCCCGCAAACTGCTGCACCTCTCAGACACCATCGAGGAGGGCACCATGCCCAAGGAGATGTCAGACATCATCGGGCGGCTCTGGAAGGACTCAGGCATCCAAGCCTGCTTTGACCGCGCCTCTGAGTACCAGCTCAATGACTCGGCCGGCTAGTACGTGGGGTGGGAGGGTCTGGGCAGGGGGGTTCTGGGGGTGCCAACCCATGTCTCATGCTTGTTGCATGCCTGGCCAGCTACCTGTCGGACCTGGAGCGCCTGGTGACCCCCGGCTATGTACCCACGGAGCAGGATGTGCTGCGCTCCCGTGTCAAGACCACCGGTATCATCGAGACCCAGTTCTCCTTCAAAGACCTCAACTTCAGGTGGAGGCCGAGCCCCCGGTGAGGGCTGGTGCCAGGGGGGTGGGCAGGGGGTGAGGGGTGCTGATGTACCCCCCTGCCCTGCCCAGGATGTTTGATGTGGGCGGCCAGCGCTCGGAGCGGAAGAAGTGGATCCACTGCTTTGAGGGGGTGACCTGCATCATCTTCATTGCGGCCCTCAGCGCCTATGACATGGTCCTGGTGGAGGATGATGAAGTGGTGAGGAAGGCTCCTGGGGCACACAACCCCCCCCACACTTCATCCTCATCATGACATGGGGGTCGACATGGGGCTAACGGGGCTGTGTCCCTCCGCAGAACCGCATGCACGAGAGCCTGCACCTCTTCAATAGCATCTGCAACCACCGCTACTTCGCCACCACCTCCATTGTCCTCTTCCTCAACAAGAAGGACGTCTTCCTGGACAAGATCAAGAAGGCCCATCTCAGCATCTGCTTCCCCGACTACGATGGTAAGGGTGGCGGTGGCTCACCCACCGGCTGCAGGCGGGTGGTGGTGGGGTGGCGGTGAAGGGTTGGGTGCCAGCACCCTGCAGCAGCCACCCACCAGGTGTCCTCAGCACCCCATGCAAGCAATGCTGCACTAGCATTGCTCATGGACCAAGCGAGGTTTACCCACCCCGGGGAGTGCTGGGTGATGCTGGGCCAGCACCCACGGAGGGGGACACACCAGCCCAGGAGGGGACCCTGCTCACTGCCATGCCACCAGGTCCCAACACCTACGAGGACGCGGGCAACTACATCAAGCTGCAGTTCCTGGAGCTGAACATGCGGCGGGACGTGAAGGAGATCTACTCCCACATGACCTGCGCCACAGATACCGAGAACGTCAAGTTCGTCTTCGACGCCGTCACCGACATCATCATCAAGGAGAACCTCAAGGACTGCGGGCTCTTCTGAGCCCCAGCCCCAGCGCCCCCTCCCCAGCCCGGGCCTCCCCTGCGGCCCA